AGTTCCCCGAGGAGGGATCGAACCCCGGCTCCCTGCGCTCAGAGTTCAGTCTTACTTAGTCACTGGACCACTGGGGAAGTCCAGGGGTGGGTGTTGAAGGTGCCACTCCTACCAGCAATTAGATTATGGATTTTATTAGCTCAAATGAGGATTTTTATTTTTAAATAAGTGCCCTAGCCATAGGATAGAGGGTGCAGAGGCCATTTCTTTTTCTCTTTTAACTGTAATTACTGATTCTTAAAATACCGGGGGCCACTTCAGGGTATGTACCCCAAAGAATTGAAAGGAGAGTATCAAGATGTTTGCACTTGATGTTCCTAGCAGCATGATTCACAATAACCAAACGGTGAATGTAACCTGAATGTCTGTGAGTAAACAAAATTGGTATATCCATACAATGGAGTGTTGTTGTTTAGTCGCTAAGTCATATCCGACTCTTGTGACCCCATGGACTGTAGCCCACCAGGCTCCTCTGTCCATGGGATTTCCCAAGCAAGAATACTGGAGTGGGTTGCCATTTCCTTCTCCAGGGGATCTTCTCTACCCAGGGGCTGAACTCAAGTCTCCTTGGCATGCAGATTCTTTACCCCTGAGCCACCTGGGAAGCCCACGATAGAATATTATTCAGCTTTAAATGGAAGGAAATTCCCACAGAGTCCAACCACGTAGATGAACCTAGAGGACATTATGCTAAGTGAAACAAGCCAACTGTAAGAAGACAAATACTATAAGATTCCATTTACACGAGGTACCTAGAGCAGTCCAGGCTTCCGTGGCGGCTCAGATGGTAAAGAACCTGTCTGCAATGCAGGAGACCCAAATTTGATCCCTGGGTCAGGAGGATCCCCAGGAGAAGGAAACGGCAGCCCACTCCAGTATATCTTGCCCAGAGAATTCCATGGACAGAAGAGCCTGGCAGGCTACAGTTCATGGGGTCGAAAAGAGTTGAACACAACTGAACAACTACCACGCAGCAGGGCAGTCCAACTCAGACAGAAGAGGCGCGGTGGTTGCCCCCGGCTGGGGGGAGGGGGGATTGTTTCCTGGATGGAGTTTTAGTTTGGCAGAATGAAAACCGGCCTGGAGATGAGTTGTATGACAGTGTGGGTGTACTTAAAACAACTCAGCTGTGCATTTAAGATGACTTCAGATGCTAAGTTTTATGCTATTTCTGTTTTACCACACTTGTTAAAAAAACAAACAAAACCAAACCACTGGGGGCTCGTGACCTTTAAAGAACCTCAGAAGCTGCTGACCTCCAAGTTCTTTTTTGAGACGATTGAATCTCTAGCTCTCAGGTTTAGCTCCGATGGGGTCGGTCGCTCTACTCCGTGGTGAACAAACAAAAAAACCCAAGGGGGTATTAGGAGTTTGGGATCAGCCGATACAAATTTGTGTATATAAAATAGATAAAACAGGGAACTCCTGTTAGGACTGTGCTTTCACTGCCAAGGGCCCCATGTTCCATCCCTGGTTAGGGAACTTGGATCCCACAAGCTGTGCGGTGCAGCCAACATAAAACAGGCAGAAGTCCTACTGTAGAGTACAAGGAGCTATTTTCAATAGCCTGTAATAACCCATAATGGGAAAAAAATGTGAGGCATATGATATATATTCAGAAATACATGTGTTACTGAATCACTCTGCTGGACACCAGAATCTAACACAGTATGGTAGGTCAACTATACTTCAATAAAAATAAGTAAAATTTTTTAAAATGCCAAGGTGGCGGGTGGGAAGGAGATAAGGGGTTAGGGGGCCCAGGCCATGAGGACTAAGCAACAAGAGAAAAACGGGCCCGTCTCTGAAGCCAGGATGCCCTCCGTCTAGAGAGGGCACTGTGGTTCTCCATTTGGAGCCCACTGTGCGTGTCGGCACACAGCCCCTCACGTTAGAGGTGAGGAAACCGCCCTTACAGGTGAGGCCCAAGTGGGGGCAGGCCACAGGGCCGCCCGGCTGGTTGGGAAAAGTGATAGTCGCTCAGTCGCTCTTTGCCACGCCATGGACTGTAACCCACCAGGCTCCACTGTCCATGGGATTCTCCAGGCAAGAATGCCGGAGTGGGTTGCCATGTCCTTCTCCAGGGGATGTTCCCGACCCAGGGATCCAACTCGGGTCTCCTGCATTGCAGGGGGATTCTTTACCTTCTGAGCCACCAGAGAGGGCTGGTTGGTAGCAGGGCCTAAAGTACAGCCCCACGTCTGTGTCCTTTGCTCTCCACCCCTCCCCCTTAGAAACGTGAGCTCTGAACTGTAGTCCTCCTGGTGATGAGGGGCAGAGCTGTCAACCTCAGCATTATTTGGCCCAAACGAGGAGAGCGAGCCCGGGTGGCCGCCTGGCCAGGCCGAGGTCAGACCAGGCCAATGTGAGCAAGGAGGCAAAGTTCATCCTTGGGTCTCTCTCACCACCCTCTGCTCTTCAGCATCCCGGGTCCTCCTTGGCACCGGGAGCCGAATCTTAACTCACATCAGAGCTCAGAGATGCAAGCCGGTCCAGTGCTCAACCTCGAGAAATGAATGTCAGCTATTGGAATGTCGCTCAGCAGAGCCCTTAAGTGAGGGACATATTTCAGAGCTATTGATGAGGATGGGCTTTCCTGGAGTCCTTGCGTCCTGGTTTCTAAACTGAGGCCATTCACTATCCACCTACAGTCTTCATTTTTTAATTGATGTATAGTTGATTATGTTAGTTTCAGGTATTTCAGTTCAGTCCAGTCGCTCAGTAGTGTCCGACTCTTTGTGACTCCATGGACTGCAGCACGCCAGGCCTCCCTGTCCATCACCAACTCCTGGAGTTTACTCAAACTTATGTCCACTGAGTTGGTGATGCCACCCAACCATCTCATCCTCTGTCGTCCCCTTCTCCTCCCACCTTCAATCTTTCCCAGCATCAGGGTCTTTTCCAATGAGTCAGTTCTTCGCATCAGGTGGCCAAAATATTGGAGTTTCAGCTTCAGCATCAGTCCTTCCAATGAATATTCAGGACTGAATATGAGTTTCAGGTGTACTACAGAGTAATTCGGAGAAGGCAATGGCACCCCACTCCAGGACTCTTGCCTGGAAAATGCCATGGATAGGGGAACCTGGTAGGCTGTAGTCCATGGGGTTGCTGGGAGTTGGACATGACTGAGCGACTTCACTTTCCCTTTTCACTTTCATGCATTGGAGAAGGAAATGGCAACCCACTCCAGTGTTCTTGCCTGAAGAATCCCAGGGACGGGGGAGCCTGGTGGGCTGCTGTCTGGGGTTGCACAGAGTCGGACATGACTGAAGCAACTTAGCAGCAGCAGAGTAATTCAATTATACATATGTATAAATCTATAGTTTTTCAGATTCTCGATCCCCTGGAGGAGGAAATGGCAACCCACTCCAGTATTCTTGCCTGGAAAATCATTCTTGCTACAGTTTATGGGGTCAGAAGAGTCGGAAAGGACTTAGCGACTAAGCAACAACTGTAGGTTATTATAAGACACTGAGTATAGCTTTTACTGTACAGTTGGTCCTGGCTGGTTATCTGTTTTATATATAGGAGTGAGTATATGTTAATTCCAAACTCCTCATTATCTCTCCCCCTCTTCTGCAGTCTTTATCATACTTTGCATTCTACTTGTACGTATATTTAATATTTCTCTTTGTATCCCCTCTCCTTTAAAATTTATCATTTTTTATTTTTTTGGCCGAACCCCATAGCTCGTGGGATCTTTCATTCCCCTACCGAGGATTGAACCCACACCCCCTGGGCAGTGAAAGCTCAGAGACATAACCACTGGACTGTCAGGGAAGCTTTTATTATGTATATTATGTGATATATAACATGTACCATTACCATATTCAATTACATCCTGTTGTATATATTAAAAGGAAGTTTGCTATCACAGCTGTATATGGAAAACCAGAGTCACTTGCCATAAATAGAAGTAGCTATAAAAAGAAACATAAAGACAAGAAGACAGTTTTAAATTCTAGCTAGACGCCTCTGCCTGCTGAAGGCTGAGCCTGGGGCCTGCTCCTTGTGGAGAAGGGAGCCACTAGCGAATGTTCTGGAGGGGTTATGTTACTCGGACCACAGCGGGGCTGCAGAGATGATCAGGATTTAGACAGGGGCCCAAGGGGAGTCACCTTCTCACTCTTCACTGTTATTTGTGAATCAGCGGGCCTCCTCCCCGGCTCCTGTGCTTGAGAAAACACTCCTTTATTTAAGGAGCCCTCATAGGAGGGCTCCTGGGAGGCTTAAGGTCAGTGAATGATTCTATAAGACGTGGTCCCTCACATTGGGGTGACGCTTGAGAAAGGAGAGTGAAAATTAAAGGAATGGCCGAGTGGAAACCGTGAAGTCAGTGACACATGAACAGAGGATGGGTAACCGGGCGCTGGGCGGAGCAGGGGCGTCTCCAGGGAGCTGGACCGAGCAAAGACAGCGTGGTGGGACTGGGGGTGCTCCGTGTCACTCCCACAAAGTCCAGACAGGAGGAGTTCTCACGTTTAACTGGTGGGGAGTGGTTGGGGGGTGGGGTGCGGGTGCTGAAATCACTTACTTTTCTGTTTGCTCCTTTGTCAGATGGAGTTAAAAGATTCTGGATATTCCCCAAGGGTGTGTAAGGACAGAATTGAAAAACACATAAAAAACCCACTTTGGGGACTTCTCTGGGGATCCTGTGGTTAAGACTCCGCCTTCCAATGCAGGGGGCAGGGGTAGGTTGCATCCTTGGTCAGGGTCAGGGAATTAACCACATGCCACTGGTAGGGTGCGGCCAAAAATTAAAAAAAAAAAAACAACAACACAAGACTCTCCGCGGAGCACCCGCCGACCCCGACCCCGGGGAGATGGGGCGGTTCGGCGACAGCAGAGTCCCGGGCTGCAGGCGGGCAGTGAGTGAGCCTCACACCTCCGCCCGGGCTTTTGCAGGAAAGCCTGCTGCCTCTGCTGGAGCCGGGCCTCAGGGGGCAAAGTCAGGCCAGGGGCTTTTCCGTGGCTTTATCCGTGTCCCCGCCCCCTTGCAGGTACCAGGATCATCTATGACCGGAAGTTCCTGATGGAGTGTCGGAACTCACCTGTGACCAAGACGCCCCCGCGGGACCTGCCCACCATTCCTGGGGTCACTAGCCCTACAGGCGATGAGCCCCCCACGGAAGCCAGCCAGAATCACCTGCGCAGCAGCCCCGAGGACAAGCCAGTGGGCGGTGAGTGGCCGGGCTCGGCTGGACTCTCCCTCCAGGAAGGCGAAGAGCAGGCGTAGGGGTGGGGGTGGGTGTTCCAGGCAGCACGGTGATGCTCCTGCCCATGGAGCAGTCCAGAGGGCGGGGAAGGGTCTGGGGTCCACTTTCATTGGAACCCACTTTCCTGGGCCCCTTTGCTAGGCAAGGCCATTCAGCCTCATCAGATAGTCTCATTAGCGGGGAACTTGTTTGAAAGGAGATGGCATCTAGGAACCTCCTTTGATAAGCCCTTGGATAACCTTTATATAATTGTCCCTGAGGCATATCCATGTATCTGCAGCAACTTGGAACACACCCAGGATGTTTTTGTGCAGGAAGCTGCTTATCAAAAGCACAGCGTCCTCGCTCTCAAGGAAATTACAGGTCTGCAGGATCAGAAAGGCGTCAGGGACGTCAGGTGTCCTAGTGGATCCTGGAGGTGGTGGAAACGGTGCAACCAGCTGTTTCTGTAGTGGACAAGGGGAGGCCGGGTCCTTCTGGTGTCCAGTGCCCACCCTCATCCCCACATCCCCTGTCAATCAGAGCAGCCACCCCTGCAGAGGTGCTTGAATACCATCTCCAAGCATCAGGGACCGGCTGGCCGGAGCACCTGAGCTCTTGCTATGGGAGGAGGGAGCATAAGCACTGGCAGAGCCTGGAAGCCGCTGACCTTTCACCCGAAGGCAGTAACCGAGCCCAGACAGGAAGCAGCTGGGCCCTCGAGCGTGGCTGGCCCTGCTGAAGCGTGGAACCCAGCTCCCTGGGGCCTGCAGGCTGTGGTTCATCCGGACCTCAGGAGCCCCACCTCCCAGAGTGGGCCGCACTTGCCTTCAGACTTGGAGAGTGGTGGACAAAAGAGAGGTGGACACGGACCCACAGAGCCCGGCAGGAAGGATGGTCCGGGCAGTGAGGTTCCCATCCTGTGATAAGAGATGGACAGAGCTTCCCTGGTGGCTCAGTGGTAGAGAACGTGCCCGCCAATGCAGGACACACGAGTTTGATCTGTGGCCTGGGAGGATCCCACATGCCTCAGAACAAGTAAGCCCGGGCACCCCTAACAAGCCTGTGCTCTAGAGCCCAGGAACCGCAACTAATGCCCCCACATGCTTCAGCTCCTGAAGCCCGTGTGCAGAGCCACTGCAGTGAGAAGCCTGAGTTCTGCAACAGAGAAAGCACCAGCAGCAGCACTGACCCAGCACAGCCAAAAATAAATATTTACTATTTTTTAAAAGGATAGACAGAAGGATGGATAGAGTCGTGTGGTTGGTCCTCCACTCCCCTTTTGTCTTAAACCAAAGACTGGTAGTTGAGGATGGAAGCTGTCAATACAACAGTGGCTCGGTCACCGCAACCTGAAGGCTGTCCACCACCTGCACTTGCATACCGTCTCCCCTCCTGGTGTCTTGAGCTGGTCTGGCCCACAACAAAGGCATGACCCCACCATGGCAGTCTCATAGTCCGCACGGCTGTTGGGATGGTGTGGGCTGAAGGAGGAGGCATGTGGTTTTCCATGTTGCTTCACTGGATATAAGAAGCCAAGGCTCCTGCCCTTGGACACGCATATTTGTGTCAACAACCAGAAGTCAAGGGCGGTTGTTCCCCCGTGGGGGTCGGAGCAGGCCTCCTGCCTTCCAGAACCTTGGAGTAGCCTTGGCCAGGAGGTCAGGCACAAGGCAGTTGCATTAAAAAGGAAAACAAGCTGCCGCTGCATGAATTACTTGGAAATTTTACTGGTAAGAGTTGGCTGAGGGCAGTGAGCAACTGAATTCCCCAAAGAGCTGCCGTATCGCAGGGTCAGGCTCTTCTCTGGGGAATCGGGTGTAGGCAGAGGAGGTTAGGATACCATGTCCTAACCCAGAAGTTGGGACACGTGCTCAGAAAGGTTTTTATGTTTTAAGGAGTATGTGTCTGTGAAACTGTATTTATTTCAAATCACAAGGAGCCATTCATTCTTCTTAAAGAAAATAGAAGTGATCCAGAAGATAGGGCTGGCAGCTCTTTGGTGGGGAGATGTGGCCTCTGCTGTGGGATCGGGGGAGCAGAGCAAGCACTGCTGGGTGTGTGTCTCAGGAATTCCTGGGCCTGCCCTCTGCCCCTGGCCCCTGCTCTCCCTGTTGGAACAACAAAATGGGAAACAACAGCTCTTTGCAGACTCTAGAAGGTTCAGCCATGCCACGTGCCCATGGCTTACCCAGTCCTCTGCCCCCTCTCTCCCCAGGTGAAGAGTCACAGTTTGAGATGGACATTTAAAGGTCCAGCCATCGGAGTGAGCCATGCCTTCGGGCCCCAGCAGCCCCTCTTGGGAGAAGTCACACCAGCCAGGCCTTATGCAAGCAACCATCCTGGGCAGGCGGTAGGCGTGGGGCCGGCCACCCCAGCCCCCTGCTCCCCCACTCAGGGCCCCTGCTCCCCCTTCTTCTTCGTGGACACCAGCCTCCATCCCCGCAGGAGCTAGCACCTGGAGGGCAGTGACCTCGGGCGCATCCCGCAGCCCATGGCCGGCAAGTGGGCACGGAGGAGGCCTTCTGAACGGTCCTCCGGCTCTCCCGGTCCCCTCCTCTGGGGGAGCACCCACGCCCCCCCCACCTCCTTAGATTGGTGTGTGGGGAAACTCCCCACCCCTTCCCTTCCTGAGAAAGGAAATAAAAGCCACCTTTGCCCTAGGGCCAAGAGTTGGCCCCCGTCTGAGCTCTTTTCACCTCTGTCTGGATGGCTAATGCTTCTCAAGCACTTCCTGTTGGCCTCTCAAATTGATGGTCGCACTGACCCTTGTGGGGGGTGGTGAGTTTATCCTCGCGGTACAGCTCAGGAAGTGAACCACACACACTCCATCACAGGTGTTGTCCTGGCAAGGGTTGAGCTGTGCTCCTCTCGTCTCCTGTTTTTCAGTGCTGGGGGCTGCCTCTTTTCTGGGCTGGGTCCCCCCCAAACGTGTCCACCGGCGCCGTCCCCTTCGCTTTGCAGCTCCCTGCAGGCATCAAAGGCCTGACCCCCGGTGTTTCTCAAGTGTCCCTTGTGTGACTGCCAGCGGGGCACAGACCCTGAAGAAACTCCTTGCCTTGGGGATTTCATTGAAATGTAAGATTTGCCCATCAGAAAAGGTAGCATGAAAGAGACTACATAGGAATTGGTTTCCAGCGAGTGGTCCACATGGGGGAGGCTCCATGGAGCTGATGCCACAGCTGGGTCCTGAGAATACCTGGTCGAGGGGAGGCCGGGGCCCAGGTGGCCAAGGGCAGGTGGTCCTGGAGAAACAGGCTGGACAAAGACAGGGCGTCAAGTTGCCTGCTTTGGCAAGAGCAGGCAGTTTGTGAGGGTGCGGGTGCCTTTTATAAATGACAGAGGGGTTCAGATTTCTAAGGGCCTCTAATGCCAGGCAGAGGGGCCCCACTGGGAAGGAGCAGGTGCATTTCATACACAGGGTGTGCTGAAGGGCAGATGGCCCTTGACCAAGAGGCCGTGGCCAACCCGGAGCTCACCAGTTCTGGACTCAGAGCACTTATCAGCCTGCTGTTTGGGGAGCAGAAGGCCTTAGTGGCTGAGTCCCAAGCCTGTTCTTTTTCCCTATAGTTGAGTTGGAGTCTCCTCCCCTCCCTGGATTGTGAAGGCAGCTGGAATCCTTGTGCCTGGTGACAGAGTGTGGGAGGATCCAGGGCAGGTTGACCCCAGGCCTGCAACATGTACTTTTCCTATCAGCATGTACTTTTCCTATGGATAGGAAGTGAGATTGGAGGGGCCACCACCACAGCAAAGACAACAACTAAAACCCCAGCTAGGGGACTTCCCTGGTGGTCCAGTGGTTAAGACTCTGCAGTGCCAATTCAGGGGGCAGGAGTTGGAGCCCTGATCTGGGAACTAAGATCCCACATTGCTGCATGGCAGGACCAAAATAAAAAAACATTAAAAAAAACAAAACCAACCCAACAACAAATAAAGCGCCAACTAGGATCAAACTAGAGATTGGCACAACTTTCCCCTAAAAGCCTCTTACTCTCTCCCCTTCTGACATCCAACCCGAGGCCTTGCTCACAAGTCCAGTCCCCTTCTTGGTCCCGCATCTCAGTGTCCAAGGGTAAAAAATTGGCGTCTCCGACAATAAGAGATTTGTTCACATGTTGTGAGCCTTTCCCATTGAACAGAAGTATCTCCTCCGGAAAACCCAGGTATTTCTTGAGCATCACCCTGGCTGGGTTGCTGTGGAGTGGCAAAGGTCTGTGACACAGTCTGGTCCTCAGAAAAATCTTGTGGGGAAGATAAAGCTCCTGTGGTCCAATTTAACATCCATGGGGATATTCTGAGAAACCTTCACAGTTGGGTCTGCCCTCCTCGGGCATCTGATTTTGTAGTTAGGGAAAACCCAGTGACAACTGTGGGGCAGAGGCCACATGCTATGAACCAGGAAAGGACAAGGAACTGCTTTAAGCTACGGTGTGTGTTTCCCAAGGATCTTTCGACTTGATCTGGAGACAAGAGGTGCTCTGAGTGGAAGAGGACACCCAGAAATGTCTTAAAGCGTTATTTGCAGGATTGGCCGTTGTGTGGAAGCTGTGTCAATGCCCCGGCATTCCTGTGTGGTCAGACCAGAGACCTCCCTGACTTTCTGCACCTCACCAAGTGATTAGAGACAGCACCTCTTCCATGTCCACTGCCCTGGGGCATCCTCTTCATTCATCTAGAAAATCCAACTGTTTTGACATTCTCCCGTCTAACATGCTCTCTTGGTGCCCCCTGTACATAGGTCATCCACCATCCAGGAAGGCCCTCCCTACATCAAAACCCTACCTGTCCAACAAAGTCTCCCTTCTTCCTGAAATTCAGTTCCTAACCCATGGCATTGACACAGCTTCCACGCATCAGCCAATCCTCTAAGTAATGACAAAACCAGTGCTTTGCGTTTCAGAACTTATCATGTACAGCCCTCCCTGACTCCCCTAAGCAGAGGACTGTGCCCCTTGCTTCAGGGCAGTTCATCTTGAGTGGAACAGACAGGCAATAGACACCTCAGTTTCTGGAATCAACTAGAAAAAAGCCTCCCTCTCTGCAGGCAATTAAATGCATATGAAAAGGTAAGGAAACTGCAGATTAACTGGGCAGAAGTACAGCCCTTACAGATTAGGTTCTCTTGATGTAACACATTCCAAAGAGTAAGACTTAAGTGTCCTGCGGAGAGGAAGCCCCCTGGCTAAAGTGGAAGTGCAGCCGTCTTTCCCCCAACTGTTCAGAAGTCAGAGGACAGGGAAACAGTTTATTTATTTCTTGGATGAGGTAAATCTAAGTAATTTATTAAAATATTCTTTTAATAATAAATATAAAATAAAAATATCTTTATCTTGAAAGTTTTCATATTTTAAATAATAGAGTTCATTTCTCCAGAAAAAAAAAGAAAGTCTAGGAAAGGCCAGGAAACTGAAAAGCAGGACAAAACAAAAAAATCCAAAGCCCCCAGAAATATGCGTGTTAAATTTCTTGACTGGTAATTGTGAGTTGAAAGTTATGTGCAGGGAGACAGTTCTAAAAGGAAGACTTTGAGCTGCTATTTTTGTTTCTTATTCTAAGGTTCTGAAGAGGCATGTTTTAGTTTCCAGTTGCTCTGTTTGACTCAGTGCTGTCTCCTGCTGGAAGGCTTTGTTAAAACAAGGGACCATTCCTCTCCAAGTGATTCCATTCCATTCCCTTAGGTGAAAAGCCAAGAGTGGTTCAGTTCAGTTCAGCCCAGTCGCTCAGTCGTGTCTGACTCTTTGTGACCCCATGGACTGCAGCACGCCAGGCCTCCCTGTCCATCACCAACTCCCAGAGCTTACTCAAATTCATGTCTGTTGAATCGGTACCAAGAGTGATGCCTGTGCTCAAACTCCTGGTCCCTCCTCCCTAACCTGGGAGAAGCAAGTGTTAGTCGCTCAGTCGCGACCCCATGGACTGTTGCCCACCAGGCTCTTCTGTCCATGGGGGTTCTCCAGGCAAGAACACTGGCAGAGTGGGTTGCCATGCCCTCCCCAGGGGAATCTTCCTGACCGAGGGATCAAACCCATGTCTCCTGCATTGCAGGCAGATTCTTTACCATCTGAGTCACCAGGGGAGCAAGACTGTCCTTCAAAGGACAGTCGGGACTTGGAACTGTTGAAACTTCTTAGCCTCTACAAGAGCAGTTCCGCTTTGCATTGGAACCGTGGGTACAAGTGTGGCTGTCAGTCAGGTAATCTCCCAGCTCCTGGGGCAGGTTCTGCTTCGGAGCCCTCTGAGAACCTGGGAGCCCACCCACAGCTCCCAAGCTGAGCCTCTGACTCAGATGAGGAACTTTGACAGCGTGTTAGAAAGCTCCATGTCCAGCCGAGGGCCGCTGACACCCAGATATTCTGCACCCCAGTGAACCTGCCACACCTTTCTTTTTTCTTTTTTTTTTTGCCACACCTTTCTTAACTCAGTTCACTGACCAATTGTGCCAGTGTGGAACCGATCTGATTTGCAAAGAGAGTAGTATGACTTCCTCTCTCCGTTAGCTCCATAGACGGCAGATCAGCCTGTAGATCAGCCTTCTCCGGGCAAGGGGCCATCCCCCTGCACAGAGGAAAAAGAGATCTTCGTGGGTGGGCACTTTGTAGAGTGAGTGTCCCGGGGTTCACCCCTCCCCCCCTTTCAGCCCCGTGTATGGAAGTGCGCCTCCTACAGGAACAAGACGGCACAGCCACTCTTCGATATCAGTTCAGTTCAGTTGCTCAGTCGTGGCCGACTCTGCGACCCCATAGACTGCACCACGCCAGGCCTCCCTGTCCATCACCAACTCCTGGGATTTACTCAAACTCATTTCCATTGAGTCGGTGATGCCATCCAACCATCTCATCCTCTGTCATCCCCTTCTCCCCCCGCCTTCAATCTTTCCCAGCATCAGGGTCTTTTCAAATCAGTCGGTTCTTCAAATCCGGTGGCCAAAGTATTGGAGTTTCAGCTTCCACATCAGTCCTTCCAGTGAATATTCAGGACCGATTTCCTTTAGGATGGACTGGTTGGATTTCCTTGCTGTTCAAGGGACTTTCAAGAGTCTTCTCCAACACCACAGTTCAAAAGCATCAGTTCTTCGGCGCTCAGCTTTCTTTATAGTCCCACTCTCGCATCCATACGTGACTACTGGAAAATCTATAGCTTTGACTAGATGGAACTTTGTTGGCAAAGTAATGTCTCTGCTTTTTAATATGCTGTCTAGGTTGGTCATAACTTTTCTTCCAAGGAGCAAGTGTCTTAATTTCATGGCCGCGATCACCATCTGCAGTGATTTTGGAGCCCAAGAAAATGAAGTCTGTCACTGTTTCCACTGTTTCCGCATGTATTTGCCATGAAGTGATGGGACCAGAAGCCATGATCTTAGTTTTCTGAATGTTGAGTTTTAAGCCAACTTTTTCACTCTCCTTTTTCACTTTTATCAAGAGACTCTTTAGTTTTTTGCTTTCTGTGAGATTTAATTGAGGACTTCCCTAGTGGTGTTGTGTGGTTAAGACTCCGTGCTTCCACTGCAGGGGGCATGGGATTGTCCCTGGCCAGGGAACTGAGATCCTGCATGCTGCCCAGTGCAGCTTAAAAAAAAAAAAAAGAATGCAATTGGAAATACTACTCAATAGTGAGTGGATAGTCCCTCCCTTGACAAGATGTCCTGTTTAGCATCTCCAACCAAAACCTTCAG